CAGTCCAAGTGGAATACAAATGTGCAGTCTGTGCACGGGGAATACAAGTGTTCAGTCTATCCAAGAGGAATACAAGTGTGTAGTTTGTCAATGTGAATACAAGTGTGTAGTCTGTGCAAAGGGAATCCAAGTGTGAAGCCTGTGCCAGAGGAATACAAATGTGCAGTGTGTTCAAGAGCAATATAAGTGTGCAGTCTGTGCATGGGAATACAAGTGTGTGGCCTGTTCACAGGGAATACCAGTGTGCAACCTGTGCAAGAGTAATACCAGTGTGCAGTCTATTGAAGGGGAATACAAGTGTGCAGTCTGTGCAAGGGGAATACAAGTTTGCAGCCTGTGCAAAAGGAATACATGTGTGCAGTTTATGTCCCTGAAGGGCTGCTATGCCTTGGATGAGACTTTCCATGTGCAGCTGTCTGCAAAGTAACATTCTGCAGTTTTTCTAAAAACAAAACATTCTGTTGAAGGATGATGCCCCAGGAAGGGAATTCACACTTGACATCCTATTGCCTCCCAGTTGAGTTCCTGTTTTTTCCTGAGGTTTGTGTTTTTCCTTCCCTGACTTTGTGTATATATTGTACCTGCCCTGTAAAGGCATTGGCATTCTCTCATAACGGATGACCCGAGTCTGAGTCTTTCTGTAATCCCTTAGGTCTAAGCCCGAGCTCGGTACTGCCCGCCCGAGTTGTCAAGTGGAGGTCTTTGGAAAGTGAGGAGAACCTGACCGGATCCTTCCTAAAAGAAGCTGGCCAGCCGGCTCAGTGAGTGGAATGTATTGGAGAAGTGGTGTGGGATCAAACTGAAAGTAGTAAATAGCACTGTGTGAGTTTGGTCATTTTGATTGCACCATGGGACTAGGAGTTCCTCCCTACGAGTAGTGGCACAGGATGATGCAACTAAGAAACCCTTGCATGAGGTGGAGAATAGCTCCAGGTCTGGGGATGAGGGAGAAAAATCATGAAAACAAAAATTGAAGAATTACAAGGGGAAAGGGGAAGCGAGAGTGGACAAGCAAGTCAGTCCCCAGGTGGCAGCAGTGGCAGCTGGGACAGCACGACGACAGCCAGGACAGGGGCATTTCTGCTGCTACAGCAGCAATAGCAGCGGGTGGCTGCAGAAGCTGCATAGGCCACGGTCCGCACCAGCCATGCCGGATAAAAACAAGAAAGAGAGAGAACCACCAAAACTGGTGAAAAGTGGAAAAGGTTCAAAAGAAAGACAATATACAGCAGAGGCAGAGATAGCCAGCAGGAAAACAGCCTCGGAGCTGTCCAGTCTCTGACATCTACTTTAACAGAAGTACCAGTCCCTCAGCCAATCGTCATCCCTGTGAAGAAAGACAGATGGCAGAACTCTTCACGGGTTAATGCCAGCAATAATAGAGAACTGCAAAAACTCCCATCTTTACAAGATATTCCTCCTGTGGGTCAAGAGAAACTTTTCCTCCAGAAGCTACGTCAGTGTTGTGTCATATTTGCTTCTGACCTACTGAGTGACTTGAAATGGAAAGAAGTAAAGCAAGCTGCACTAAGAGAAACAGTGGAACATATCACCCACATCCGGAACGCGATCACAGAGCCCATTTACCCCAAAGCCGTTATGTTTGCAGTTAATATGTTCCGAACCTTGCCACCTTCCTCCAATGCTTCAGGAGCAGAATTCAACCCAGGAGGAGATGAACCAATGTTAGAAGCAGCCTGGCCTCATCCGCAGCTTATGAATTTTTCTTAAGATTTTTAGAGTCCCCAGATTTCCAGTCCAATATAGCAAAGAAATACATTGATCATAAGTTTGTATTGCAGCTTCTAGAACTCTTTGACAGTGAGAATCCTCAGGAGAGAGATTTTCTAAAAAACGACCCTGCACAGAATCCATGTGAAGTTCTTAGGCCTGCATGCTTACATCAGGAAACAGATCAATAATATATTTCATAAGTTTATCTACGAGACAGAGCACCACAATCGCATAGGAGAATTACTACAGATCCTGAGAAGTATAGTTAATGGATTTGCCTTACCACTAAAGGAAGAGCACAAGATTTCCCTGTTGAAGGTGTTGCTGCCCTTGCACAAAGTGAGGTCCCTGAGTGTCTACCATCCCAAGCCGGCGTACTGTGTCATGCAGTTTTTAGAGAAGAACAGCACCCTCACTGAACCAGTGGTAATGGCACTTCTCAAATACTGGCCAAAGACTCACAGTCCAAAAGAAGTAATGTTCTTAAATGAATTAGAAGAAATTTTAGATGTAATTGAACCGTCAGAATTTGTGAAGATTATGGAGCCTCTTTTCCAATAGTCAGCCAAATGTGTTTCCAGCCCTCACTTCCAGGTGGCAGAGCAGGCACTCTATCACTGGAATAATGAGTACATCATGAGTTTAATCAGTGACAGTGCAGCGAGAATTCTGCCCATCATGTTTCCATCCTTATACCGCAACTCAGAGACCCACTGGAACAAGACAATACACGGCTTGATATACAATGCTCTGAAACTCTTCATGGAGAGAACCAGAAACTCTTTGATGACTACACCCAGCAGTTCAAAGCAGAGAAAGTCAAAGATAAGCTAAAAATGAAAGAGCGAGAAGAAGCATGGGCTAAAATAGAAAATTGAGCCAATGTAAATTCCCAGGCACTAAAAGAGCGTAACTCAGGAGTGTTCAGACTTTGTGTGACACCTCCTAGGAAGGAGATAAAAATTTAGACCTTGAAAATGAGAGAGACAGAAGGTTTTAGAACAGCAGTTGTCCTCTCTCAGGCTGTGTTAGCAACAGAGAAAGAAGAGACTGTTTCAGAGCCCTCCTGGGATATGACCTGCTTTCTCTCTGGCTCTTACAGGAGAAATCCTTAGTTCTGCTTTCCCTGTCTATTGTCTGTTCTTAGTGCACCGATCTGTTAATTGTCTGACTTTGTTTCATTGTTTGAATAATTGTTGTTCTATGTTTTATGTTAAAAAAGTGTTTATTGGGTATGATTAAAAATTTGCAGCCAGGCGGTGGTGGCGCACGCCTTTAATCCCAGCACCTGGGAGGCAGAGGCAGGCGGATTTCTGAGTTCAAGGCCAGCCTGGTCTACAGAGTGAGTCTACAGAGAAACCCTGTCTCGAAAAAAACAAATCAAAAAAAAAAAATTTGCAACTTTGATAATAGAAAGTTGGTTTAACTAGTAACTCAGAGCTGGAGAGATGGCTTAGCCATTAAAGGCCAGACTATAGTAGAAAGAACACATTTAACTTTGAAAAATTATTTTGAAAAAGCAAAAGCGGGGGGAGGGTTACCTCACTTCATGCAAGATTATCCTTTATTTTATATATTTTAAATTTTTTTATTAGTGGATAAGGATGCATTGTCTGCAGCAGACAGACATTGGAAACGAGCCCAGAAGGCACTAGACTTAGTGAAATGGAAAGAATTGTCATCAGGTGTATGGAAAGGTTCTGACTCTGTGTTAGTCAGGGTGAGAGGTTCTGTTTGTGTTTTTCCTAAAGATGCTGAAAGTCCTGTTTGGATTCCTGAGTGTTGTGTGCACCCTGTCACTATGCAGCCTCACCGAGGCAGAGATCTACTGGAGCCTTGTGAAGAACCTCCCCCCCACCCCCGTTCTGATGTCAGTGGGGATAAATAGCTTGGCCTGGCCAGTCATAGTTTCCACCAACAGGACTACTGAAAAAAGCTGCAGTGGGATTGATATTTCTTTGCCACTTTTGCAGATAGCAGATCCAGTCCCAGGCAATTACTAAGCAGGTGCTCATGTTGCTGGCATTAAAGAACCCTACTGCCCAGGTCTGTCTCAGCCTTTACAGAAAATAGTCAATGACGGGCAACTCCTTTGCAGTCCTTACCTACCTAGACAGGGGCCCTAAGGCTGGCAGGGATTCCCAATGATGGGTAATTGGTATTGACAGAAGGCGACCTAAGACAGACGCTATTCGCCTATAAAATAAAAATGGGGGAACTGTAGGACCCCGAAGGGCTGCTATACCCTGACTGAGACTTTCCGTGTGCTCCTGTCTGCAAAGTAACATTCTGCAGTTTTTCTAAAAACAAAACATTCTGTTGAAGGATGATGCCCCAGGAAGGGAATTCACACTTGACATCCTATTGCCCCCCAGTCGAGTTCCTGTTTTTTCCTGAGTTTGTGTTTTTCCTTCCCTGACTTGGTGTATATATTGTACCTGCCCAGTAAAGGCATTGGCATTCATTCACTCATAACGGATGACCCGAGTCTGAGTCTTTCTTTAATCCCCTCGGCCTACGCCCGAGCTCAGTACTGCAGGCAGCACAGGAGCTGTCATGCAGTCTGTGCAAGAGGAATACAAGTGTGCAATCTGTGCAACGGGACTACAAGTATGCAGTCTGTACAAGAGGAATACAAGTTTGCAGCCTGTGCAAGAGAAATACTAGTGTGAGGCCTGTGCAAGATAAGAGGCAATAGCAACACCATTTGCCAGGAGGAAAACAGCTGTTCATGTGCCTGACTGTCAACTATAACCAAACGAAAACCCAAAACTTCTAGTTTTATATTCTCATTATTGACCACACAGCTCACAACATATCGTGGGAAACATCTAATCTCACAGAACATGTTTCAATAGAAACATAAACATGGGGCACATACAAGGGACTAACTTTGCGAGACTTTTGGGGGTTTTTGTTTTTTGTTTTCTTAAGATAGAGTCCCCTATAGCACAGGCTGGCCTTGATCTCATTTATGCACATTTTAAAAAGCAAAAAGCTGAGATTTAGAGGAATAGAGTCTCTTGCCCAATCTCACAGATCATAAGTAGCAGAAGTAGAATTTAAAGCTAGCATTGGTTTCACAGGATTCTGCTCTTCTACCTGTACTCTGTAATCTGCAAGCTTCAATTTACTGTTAGGAAGACAGGTGGTGCCAGCCTGTGTATCAGCAGGTGGGAAGAGGCAGATAGGTCAGAAGTTCAAGGCCAGCCTTGGAGTATACTGAACACAACAAAGACAAGTCACTGAGGGTTTCTAGACACTCTGAGGTGAGAACCGTGGCATTACAAGGCTCTAAGAGGCAGGGGACTCCTGGGCAATCTGGTCCAGCTGGGCACTCCTGATCCAAAACCAGAAATGCATCCCAAATCTACAACACTTTGAGCACCATTTAGGTGCAGTAACTGCACAGCCTTCAAACTTCCAACATTCTGGATCCCCAGCAAGCTCAGCTAAGACAAATTACAACCATGTCTCCTTCAAAGAAAGTTCCAGAAATGCTTTTAGCTCTAATTTCCTGTACCACTTTCTCATTCTCTGGCTGGAACCTCTATGGTGTCTATAAAGTCAGAAGGGAAAAGTCACGCTGATAAAGACACAACTCCTAGAAACCTACCTTCTTCCCAGGTCGGGGACTCCTTCGAGGTGGAGAGAGGTCAGAATCGGAAGATTTGGTCCTCTGTCTTCTCCGGGGTGGAGAGAGGTCAGAATCAGAGCTCTGGTGTCTTGGTCTATTCCGTGGTGGTGACAGATCTGAATCAGAATCCTGGTGCTCTGAATTTTTTTTTTTCCGTGGAGGAGAAAGATCTGAATCAGATGCTTTTTGGCAGACACCTAAGTAGAAAAGAACAAAGAATGACTATGATATCTCCTAGGTCAAAAGCTTCTATGAAATCTGTGTCTAATAGAATCTAGGGATTAAAGAATGAATTAAGGATGGGGATGGTTCAGTAGTTAAAGTGCCCACCTAGTATGTCAGACTTGGTTTTGGTCCCCAGCACAAGAGAGGAAGGGAGAATAAATTAATCTCAGAAGAATGTTTAAAGGAACTTACCAAGCTGGGTTCATTGTCTTAGCCATCCTATGAAAAAAACATCACTAACCAAAACACAGGCACAAGTGACACAGAGAAGAACAAAGGCAGGGCTCTATTTCCTGGCCACCAGTGTCTGGTGACTCTGAAAAGTGTATGAGATCTCAGACACTGGTCCATACTGTTGTCTTTCCTCTGCCACCCTCTTCAGAACTGGTAGAAGAGCTGAGTTGGTCCTGTGCAGTGTGACAGAGTCAGGAAGACCTGGAGTATATGCCATGCCCCAGAGTCAAGAGTAACAAAGTAATTTCAATTTATAATTAAAACTGTAGCTAGAACAAATGAAGTAAAAAACTTTTCCTGCATGAGCCTGTTCTAGATGACAGTGTCACCAGTCACTTCCTGAAAAGCTGCCACATAGCAGGTACTAGGTAGTAGCAACAGCTACACATTCTGACCTAGTAAATAACTGCTAGGTTTTCCAGGAACCTATCAGTTAAATCCCCAGGAGATCTAAGAAAAGAAACAATCCAGGGCTGGAGAGACGGCTCAGCAGTTAAGAGCACTGACTGCTCTTCCAGAGGTCCTGAGTTCAATTCTTAGCAACCACATGATGGCTCACAACCATCTGTAATGGTATCTGATGCCCTCTTCTGGTGTATCTGAAGAGATCAATAGTGTACTCATACACAAAATAAATCTAAAATAAAAGAAAAAAGAAAAAAGAAATAATCCACAGTTGTGCCATCAGTATATGTACAAGATGATTGTCAAACATCCTCAGAGAAAACCCAGGGAAAACTGTTAAGTGGAGAGAGCAGGCAAAATTACACAGGCAACAAGTATGTTCTGCACAGCTAGGCCCAACTACACCCAACACGCATACCAAAACCACCCAAGGACACTGGCTACAATATTAGCAATGATGTTGTCTAAATGACACAATTTTGTGACACTTTTGTGTCTATACAATTCTGTACATAAGTGTATTTGTATGTATTATTATTGTATGTGTACATGTGTGTATGAGTGCAGGCATCCACAAGTGGAGGTCAGAGAATGACTTTCAGAAGTCAGTTTTCTCCTTTTCCAGCACTGGTGAAGAAAGACTGCTTTACCCACTGAGCCTCTGAGCCCAACCCATCTGTGCCTTTTTATGGGTAGAGTGAGTGAGCAAAAGGACATCAAACTTCCCCCACCCTTTTATTGTTCAACTCTCCTAAGTCCAATCTCTCATTTTTCAAAACTTTCCAAAAGAAACTCGTCCTTACACTCACAGGGATGAAGTTCCTGTTTTGCACAGACTTACGCTCACCTTTAGAATCAAGCTGTTTCTTAGCCCCAAAATGGGCCTTTGCTTGTCGTTTCCGTGGAGGAGAAAGGTCAGAGTCATGCTCGTACTTGCTGTTCGTGGAGAATGATGGGTGAGAGGGTCCTACCCCACTCTGGGATACAGTCTTGCTAGGGGGTCTTTCTGCAGCTTTACTATTTTTGGCTTTGGGCAGTTCCAAATCAGGGGAATCATGACGTGTCCTCCTGAGATGTTGTGCACCTGAAGAGTCAAGAGTCCTTCTATGCTGGGCTGCAGTAGGGGAGTAGTTGTGGGCCTGTCTTGGGGAAGAGGTATCTGAGGAACCATGATGGCCTCTCCTAGGAGATACAGCTGAAGAATTACGATGAGACTTCCTACGGGGAGAAGCATCTGAGTTATGGTGGACCTTCCTGGGAGGAGATGGATCCGGGATGTCATGACGAACTCTCCTGGGAGGAGATGGATCCGGGGTATCATGACGAACTCTCCTGGGAGGAGATCGATACGGGGTATCATGACGGACCCTCCGGGGAGGAGATGGATCCGGGGTATCATGACGGACCCTCCGGGGAGGAGATGGATCCGGGGTATCATGACGGACCCTCCGGGGAGGAGATGGATCTGGGGTATCATGACGAACCCTCCTGGGAAGAGATGGATCTGGGGTATCACGGTGGGCCTTCCTGGGAGAAGATGGGTCCAGGGTATCATGAAGGACCCTCCTTGGAGAAGAGTCTGGAGTATCATGACGGACCCCCCTGGGAGGTGATGGATCTTGGTCATCATGATGAAAATGTCCATCTTTACTGTGGCCTAAACACAAAAGCAGACAGTACGAGTCCCACAATGTGTTCTGGCCTAATGGCACAGAGGGTAACAAGCCCCACTTAGGAGACAATTCCTTTATCACCTATGTATGAGAAATGAGCAAACACCAGGAATATTTTGTAGTTAAATAGATCTCAAGAAGTAAGATCCACTCACAGTGGCCTGGACTATATATTGAGACTTTGTGTCAAAGGTTTAAAAAAAGAAAATAAGAAAGAAAAGGAAGCCAGGCAGTGGTGGCACACGCCGGGCAGTGGTGGTGCATGCCTTTAATCCCAGCACTTGGGAGGCAGAGGCACGTGAATTTCTGAGTTCGAGGCCAGCCTGGTCTACAGAGTGAGTTCAAGGACAGCCAGGGCTACACAGAGAAACCCTGTCTCGAAAAACAAAACAAAACAAAAAAAAACAAAACAAAAAAAAAAGAAAGAAAAGGAAAACACAAAGAGTGCAGGAGGAGGGGATGGGAAAGCCTTGTTTATGGAAAGTCAGAATAGAGAAATAGTCACAAGTAAAAGACACCCTGGCTACGGGGGGCTGTTTCATTCTACAACTGTGGGAAACCTGGGCTCCATGCTCTGACAAGTCAGCTTCTAATGTTCCATGCCCTTCTTCTGAAGTCCTGACATCTTTTTCCCACCATGTTTTTCATCATCACTGACACAAAACAAACCATGCATTCCTCTAAGGCAAGGAAGCAGAAGGGACCTACCCTGGAAGTGAGACATATAGTTGTGTTTGCTGCCAACACTCACCTCCCAGAAGCTTCCACTTGGCACTGGAGCGGAAGGCTTCCATCTGCTTTACCTCTTCTGGACGCTCATCCACAAACTCAGCCACCTGCAGGAGTAGGGGCATTACAGTAAGGAAAACCCACAGAACCCAGCCAAGGAGCACTTGTCTCAAGAGCCTAAAGCCATAGCTTACATGCAGAGAATTGCCTGCTTCTCCTTGTGATCGCATGACTGACTTCCACCGCCCATCATGAGAAGAATATCATAGCAAACAGTGCTAGCCGGAAGATCAAAACCATTTTCTGCTGAAAATGTATCATGTCCATACCACTGCACAGTCAGAACATTAAGTTGGGAGCATTTGTATAAGCACCATAGAAGAAAACAGTACCACACAGCTCTCTGAGTGTCACCTCTCCCCTTGCTCAGCATCAAGGCTGAAAAGCTTGGATCATTTCAAAGTTCTGACAAGAGTCTCCACAAGATACATACCACAGGCAAATCTCCATCCTCTTCCTCCTCCTTCTCCAGCTTAGCGGTAGAGATAGCTGCCCAACCCACATCATCATCAACAATCCGCATTCTAGACGAGAATAAAAGACTCAAAAAGGAATTCATTCTGGGACACGGGTCTACATACATTTACCTGTTGTTCTTTGATATTTATTTAGTGTGTGTGTGTGTGTGTGTGTGTGTGTGTCCGTGACGGTGTATGTATGTGCTATGACATGCATATGGAGGTCAGAGGACAACTTGCAGGAATCAGTTCTCTCCCTTCACCATGAGGGTTCAGGGGACTGACAGGTTGTTGGGCTTGTCAAGTGCAAAGCCAAGTCACTGGCTCCCTACTAGCTTTTAAAGTTAAACGTATGGCTCAGTGTTCGTCTGTGTGTACTGGACTGTCAATTTACTACATCACTGTCCACCTCTGGCAATATCAGCAATCCCCTCCTTCTGCCAGACTCACTCTTCTCGCTGTTAACCATGAATCTTATTTTCTCTGGGCCCCAGCCTTGAATAACTTCCTTGGACCTATCTTTCTTGCTCACTGTCTCCTACTCCCAGAGTAGAAATACTTCTACACACTCTTAGAATGTTTCCCTTTGTATTTATAAGCCCATATTCCCATTAAATTCTACGCTCCAACAGCCAAGGACTAAGGCATTCTTTTACTTATTGCCTTGTTGTTGTTGTTAGATAGTTTCCCTATAGCTAGCTCTCAGCTCTCTATCCTCCTGCCCAGCCTCCCCTGTGCTGGGATTATAGACATCTACCACCACATCATCCTACTAACTCATACATTTTTTTGTTCATCAAGGCTTCCTCAAACAACTGTCATAGGAGAGATTCAGTCCTCCATTCCCATGGACTCTGCAACTGCCAACTCAACCAACCACAGATTAAAAATACTCAGGGGAAAGAGGAATAGCCAATGTATTAAACAGTACAGATTTTCTTTGGTTACAATGGCCCGTACAATGTCACTACTGGAATGAATACCATCTAAGTTGTAGTGGGTTTTTAAGTAATCTAGAGATGATTTAAAGAGGATGTGACTAGTTTACATGAAAATAGTGTATCATTTTGTGAAAGAGCTTAATAAGTACCTATGGACTCCGGGAACTGGTCCCCCAATTACTGTAAGATGGTGCATCCAATAAACGTGTGCCACACTGATAAACTATGCTGCTGAGAGGTTATTTGAAATGTTGGGAGCACATGATACAGCTTTAATCACCACAACCATTTCAGACAAGTAGTAAAGTGCAAGATCACTTTAAGGACTAGGACTTGAGTCTCGGAGAGATGAACTCTCTTGTCCTGGACCACTCAGGCTATAAAGCAGCCCAGCTAGGATTCTAATTCTGATCAGTATTGTTCCAAAGCTTCAACTTTTCCCCCTGCATGGCATTGCCCCTTCTTCCAAGGATATCAACCACACTGAATTTAGCACTCGCCTTAACAGAGGCTCAACTTAACTGATAACACCATGAAGATTCCATCTAAAATTAATGTCATGCTCAAGTTCCAAATGAAGATAAATGTGGGGATGGGGGAATAATTCTACCCAGGTCAAAATAGATCATGATGCTGTCCCAGAGAGAGGATGAGCCACAATTTGCATCCTATCCAGTAATCTCTTTAAACCCATAAGTTCTTAGCAGACCCAAGCCGGGTGGGTAAGAATTGAATTAGCCTCCAGAGTTTCAACCTTGTATCTAAAATAGTACCTTCAGTAAGCTGCTAAACTTAAGGCCGCTGCTCTAAAGTCTACAAACATAGAAATTTCCTTTGTTCTGGGGGTTGATGTTGGATCTCCTATCCCAACCTTTCGAGATCCCAGTGGCCAAGTTACTAAAGGGTATTTCATCTGAACTCTGTCTCAGCACACCTCTTTAGAACCTGGAAGTATAGTATTTAAAACCAACGGCTGCTTCGTTACAATGTTCTGAAAGTAGTTACATGGTCAAACTTTTTAGAAAGAGGTCAGGCACATGATGTGAACTGTCCCCATGTTAGTTGTTTACGGTTAGTAGATGTAACAGGACACGGGTTTTTGATTCCAGATCAGTTCCTGGTACTTTGGAACCTCCAGAAAGAGACTTTTGGATCTTAAAATTAAGAAAGGAAGGAAGGACGGACGGAAGAAAGGGAGGAAGAGAGGGGAGGGAGGGAAGGAGAAAGAGAGAAAGAGAGAAAGAGAAATAAAGTAAGAAAGAAAAGGGTTTTGAATTAGCTCTGCTATTCTCGGGGCCCAACTTTCAATCTGTACACGGAACGACCTAAGGCTACAAACGTGGGGAGAAAGTGAGTTCTAGCTGCCTTTAACACAAGGAAGACGCTGCTCCAGAGGATGAGGTCTGAGCTGCCAGTGGCGGCTACAAGCCCGCCCCGGGAAAGTGGAGTGGGGCCTGGGGTCGGGCTGGGGTCGGGCTGGGGTCGGCAGCGCTCGGAGCACCGGGGTCGGGCTGGGGTCGGCAGCGCTCGGAGCACCGCGCGGGCCAGGACGAGGAAGAGCTGCGGCCGAGGGCGCAACCGGGTAGCGTGACACCCCACCGGTCCACTCACCCCTTGCCGCCAGCGCCTCCCGGCTTCGGCCGTTTTTTGCGCCGCTTGCGACCGGACTCTGGACCTCCTTCCAAGCCAGCATCTGCCCCAGACAAGTAACGTTTCAGATACTCAGCCTTGGAGACCGGCGGAGCTGCCGCCATGGCAGCGGCGAAGGCAGCGGCTCGGCGAGAGGGACAAAATTCTTCAACGAGAAACGGTAGGGGTGGAGCCAAAAGCGGAAGCCTTAGGACTGGGACTTTTGTACCGCTGAGCTGATAGGCGTGAGCCTAGGCAGGCTCAAGGGTAGCTAGCGTGCATGCATCTGGGGCTGGTTGTGTTTTCCTGTGATGAGGCATCCGTATGACAGCCTGCAACCCACATTGTCCCAGCTGAGAAGCCACAGGCCGATGTAACAAGATCCTGCCCTGGCGGCGTCAGGGCCAAAGTAAGGAGGAACACCTGTATGAATGTGAGACCTATCATAGCTGTACCACGAAGAGCAAATCTTAAACAGCATTTTCTATTGTGCCAAACATTTCATAGTATCCAGTTTATTAGTTTAATTCAATCACTTTATTTCCCCTTTTGGTGGGAAGTTTGTTGGAACAGGCTTTTAAGGAAAGTCAAACCCCATCCTAGTATTGTGACTATGAAAATGTGATAGGTTTTATCAAACCTGTATTGACCTCCTCACTATGGTATCTATTGTCTCTCAAGAAAATGACATGGGCAGCGGTGGTGCACGCCTTTAATCCCAGCACTTGGAAGGCAGAGGCAGGCAGATTTCTGAGTTCGAGGCTAGCCTGGTCTATAGAGTGAGTTCCAGGACAGCCCAGGCTATACAGAGAAAACCTGTCTCGAAAAACCAAAAAGAAAAAAAAAAAAAAGAAAAAAGAAAATGACACAGATTTGTTGTCAGTTTGGCAAAGAAAAGAAAGCTAGTTGGAGTCTAGCATTTCTTCTATAAAGACTTTAGTGTTTTGTGACTCCCCACCTAACCCTCACAATTGTTTCCTCTTCTTTTATTTATTTTATGTATATGAGTATACTGTCACTCTCTTCAGACACATCAGAAGAGGGCATTGGATCCCATTACAGATGGCTGTGAGCCTTGCTGGGAATTGAACTCAGGACCTCTCTCGAAGAGTAGTTGGTGCTCTTAACTGCTGAGCCATCTCTCCAGCCCCTAGTTTTCGGTTTTATTAGCCTCCTTTAAAGATAAGAGTTTGGATAAGTACAGGAACCCATACATCTTCCTACTGCCTGGCTCTGATTTTTGCTAACAGAGGCCAACCAAGGATGGTACAGGTTATCCAATTTGAATTTGTTCTGCCTTGAGACAAGGATTCTCTGTGTAGTCCAGGCTGTCCTGGAACTGGCTCTTAGACCAGGCTGGCCTCAAACTCAGAGACCCACCTGCCTGTTCTGGGATTAAAGGTACGTGCCACCCTGCTTTCCAGACTAAGCTGCATGAGAACAACTAGATGCCACACAAGTGTACCAGGCTCAAAGCAGACAGGATGGTCTATCGTTGGAGTGAATGAGATGCTGCTGCCTCTGACAGCTCAGTGACAGCAGCCACTTGACGAAAGATTTGTTGGGGAAACTAAATTTTTTTTCTCTTCCTACTTTCTTTTCATGAAGACAGAATCTCACTACAGGGCCCAAGCTATCCTCAGTCTCCTCAGTGCTGGGGCTGCAGGTGTGACTCCATGTGACCCAGCTTAGGCAGCTGGACTCTAACACCATGGTATTCAGTATGGACATAAACACAGAGACAAGTATCGTTTAAAAGCCATCACTTTAATGTAAGCTTCTTCACCTGTGTCTGCAAGGCCCCTCCATTATTCTTCCCTGCTGAAAGTCAGTACTTCATATGCCTAAAGCGAGGTCAAACTTGTATTTCACTTCCCCAGGCTTCAAAGGTTCGGCACTGGAGGCCAGAGAGTTGACAGGCAAAAGGTGATGGCAGACCGCATGGTGTTTCTGGGGTTCCTCTCACACCGACTTAAAACCTCCAAAAGAAGGTTGAGGAGCACAGTAGGCCCGCAGCTGCATTGTCTGCTGCTTAGATTTCACTCATCGTTTCCAACAGTAACAAGTAACCCTGCAGCGTGAGTGGCACTGCAGCTGGCCTGTGAGCCGCCCACTGCTACCGCTGTGGGGCCAGGCCTGCCTCGTAGCCCTCTGTCTTCATGTCGTTGAGGCCAAGCTCCTCATTCTGGTCAAAGGTGCGCTTGTACCGCTCCACCTTCATCTCCGGATCCTCTTCAGGTGCGTACACATTCTGCAGGGCCAAGGGCAGCCAATCAGAGCCTGTGCGTCCCGCCGTCCCCTCCCACTGCTAATTCCGAATCTCCTAAGAAATGCACAGGATTTGTAGGGTCTCTAGAGCCCATGGCTACACAGTCTGCAAAAGTGTGTGTGTGTGTGTGTGTGTGTGTGTTGGTATCAAACCCAAGCCCCTGTACATGGTATACAACTGTTTAATCCTCCAGTTCTAAGTATTTTTATACATGGGACTTCCTATAAAAAAATGTAGCCAAAGCTGGTGATTGCTTATAATCCCAGCACTCTGGAGACTGAGGCAGAAAGATTATAAATTTAAAGCCCGTCAGGCTACATAACAAAGGCTTGTCTCAAAAAAAAAAAAAGAAAGAAAGAAAGAAAAAGAAAAAAAAGGTGGGCGGGGGGAAAATACAACAGTCTTTTTTTTTTTTTTTTTTGTTTTGTTTTGTTTTGTTTTTTGCGACAAGGTTTCTCTGTATAGCCTGGGCTGTCCTGGAACTCAGTCTGTAGACCAGGCTGGCCTCGAGCTAGAAATCCACCTGCCTCTGCCTCCCAAGTGCTGGGATTAAAGGCGTGCGCCACCACTGCCTGGCTAACAACAGTCTTAATGATATAAATAACTTAGGCCAGTTTGGCCAGGCCCATCAACACCCATTAATACTAAAGTAAGGATGGGGCCCCAGGTTCGAACCCAACACCACAACCAACAACAAAAGTTTGCTGTAGTTCTCTATATATCAATTGCCATATGCTTGCTTGCCCAGACAGCTTGGCACCTCTTGGCTTTCCTGTCCTGACCTCTGACAGGTCCCCATTACTCCTCACTTCAGTCAGAGATGCAGAATGGGAACCCCACTGCTGAGGAGGATAAGAATAAGAACAAGACAGCAGACCCAGGAAGAAAAGACCCTCCCTTCCTGTGTATCCGCTCTGAACCTAGGGCGCGGAGCACGCTAGCCAGGGAGAGAGACACTTAACTCCTTGCCTTTTCTTCACGTTAGTTTATCCTAACACAGAGTCTCAATAAATTGCACAGGCTGGTCTTGACCTTTCCATCTTCATGGCCTCCTGAGTACCTAAGAGTGCAGGCCTGCACTAGATCTGGCCTGTTTACCTTTTGTTACACACACTTGAAATCCCAGTACCACCACCTTCCCCTTTCTTCCTTACCAGTCCTGCCCAGAATCCCAACTGAAGACTTAGAAGCCAGGCTTTCCTTGTTAAGGGCTATCATGCAAATCTATGAAGTTCAGAAACTACATCTCTGTAGAACCACCAGGAAGGCCTAACTTACCTGCAGGTAACTGTTTCCTGCTGGGTCATTCATGATAAAGTGGGCCTTCATCTTGCCCTCGATGATCTATAGGAGACAGGAGGACTTAGCAGGTAACTCTTACAAAGATCCTAGAAGGAAGAGGCTATGGCTGCCAGATAAGAGCCAGTCCAGCTTACAAGGTGCAGTTCCCAAAAGTTTAAAGAACAGGGAAATCAGGATTACAGAAATGGCCCGGGTCCTCTTACCTGGCCCAACTTCTGGCTAAACTCCTGCAGTTTCTCTGACTGGTCAGGATTAGAGCTGTCACCCAGTGTGAATGGGTTCTTGGTTACCTGTAGCACACGACAACTGGATTACTACAACACCGACTGTATGGGTCATTACACTCAACCACAAACCAGCGGTGGGGAGCAGTGGGTGCCCAGTAGGAGAAGCCTGGTCTCCATTTCCCACAATGCCTTGCTGACTTAGGGGAGGGGAGGAAGGTGGCAGAGAACAAGACAGGAGAAGATGTCTGTGAGACTGCTTTGCCAAGAAGGAAACTGGCAATAGGAAATGGAATCCACAAGAGTTCTTACAGTACCTAATCCTAATCGGGAAAAGAAATACAATATACAGTTTACAAAGAGAAGCCAGGCATGATTACACGTTGGCCTGTAGTGCCAGCATTGGAAGGCTGAGGCAGGGGGACAGTGACATCAAGGCTAGTCTCAACTACATGGCAAAGCCATCTCTCAAATAAATAAAATAAATACACTTATAAGATCTAATACAGTTATACACTACTGTTTAGAAAATACCGACAAGTTAAGTCTTCACATATTCATGATAGATGCCAAATTTTGTAATGAGAAAAATGACTTCGGATGAAACAATAGCTATACTGTCCCATTGTTAGCCTTGAGAATTTCCATTAAAAATTCCTATAACAAACTAACTTCTCTTCATAATCCATGCTTAAATCTCTTGAACCGCCTTTAAGGCAAAGAAACCCCAGCTATAAACAACAAAACAGAATTTTTTTTTGGTAGGGGCATTTGAGACGGGGCCTCAGGTTAGCCTCAAATCCTGTCTTCTTGCCTCAGGTTCTCAACTGCTGGAAGTATAGGCATACGTCATGGTACCTGGAGAGACCATGCTTTTCCGTGCCACACTGCTAACAGAAGCTATGTTCCACAGTCTACACTCACCAATTCTCGGATGTCTTTCAGCAGTCCTTCTAGAGTGGTGAACTTGCCCCCAAGTACAGCCATTCCCAGTTCAAACTCGAGCTCTGGGATTTCCACACTACAGGTCTCAGACTGTAAAACAATAGGTCAAATTAAGGATTAAATCACAGGATGGCAGCGTAGTTTCATCCAAGTGCCCTTGTCTAGTATTAGAGAGGTCCCAGGTTCAATCCATAGCACCAAACAGATGGACAGACATACAGAGAGACAAACTGATTTAAACTAGGAACCAAGAAAGCCAACCAAATTAATAAACCAGTGACAGTTTGAGGACAAAGTTAGAATGCTAGTTTACTCTCAATACCTGGCTAAAAGCCAGGGACTCACTCCCCCATCTGAACCAACACGAAGCTAGCATAATAAACTGAAACTAGGTCAC